CCCGTTGTTGCCCTCAGTGGTCCCGTCCTTGCCTTCCGCGGCCCAATATACGTATGCCCTTCGTGGCCCCAGCTCGTTCGCGCCCGTCGTGGCCCCATGTGCATGCCTTTCGTGGCCCCGCTGTCGAGCTTCGTGGCCCACTCGCTGTCCTACGTGGCCCAGTTGCTACCCTCAGTGGCCCCGTCGTTGCCATCTGCGGCCCCGCATTATCCGCCCTTCGTGTCCCCCGCTCGTTCGTGCTATTCTTGGCCCCGTACGCATTCCCTTTGTGTACCCGCTGTCGCCCTTCGTGGCCTACTTCGTGCCCTTCGTGGCCCTGCTGTCGTTCTCTCTCTTGCTTTCGGTTTCGCTCGTCGTCGTCGTCGTCGTCGTCGTCGTCGTCGTCGTCGTCGTCGTGGTCGGTCCCCCGTCCGTCCCTCTTGGGGTCAGGTTTCCGCCGATCAGCGCTGCCGCTGGCCAGGCCGACGGTCCGCGGCCGCCCCGCCGCTTGCCAGGGCCCGGCCTGCAGGGAAGAAAAGCATACCCCCCAAAAGGGGTACGATCGAAGACGAGGGCGGGTATTGAGGGTTTGGGAAATACGCGTTCACGGACACTTGGGCAGATAAGAAAGAGCAGTCTTAAACTGATTGTTGTTGTAGTTGTAGTTGTTGTTGGTTGTTGTTGTTGTTTTTGTTGTTGTTGTTGTTGTTGTTGTGTTGCTGCTGTTGTTGTTGTTGTTGTTGTAGTTGTTGTTGTTGTTGTTGTTGTTGTTGTTGAACATTATTACTTCTAAAGAATAATTATTGTTGGGACCCCTGGTGCACGACCCCCCCGCCGCGCCTAGGCCGCAGCCTCATTTTCATCATTTTCGTGAGGAAGTCTCAGGCAAAACGGGTTGGTCCGGATCCGGTTGTGTTGTTACGATCGGTTTTCCCTTGCAAAAAATAAGCTAAAGTGGACATTTCTTGTTCTAACATATCCAAACTTCAAGAATCCCTTGCAAAAAATAAGGTAAAGTGGACATTCGCGCGCGCAAGACGAAATCCTTCCAAAACCTTAGTTTTCGTAGCGATTTTAACATAAAAACATCAAAAAACCAATGGTTTTTCAAACAAAATTGTCAAAATTTCATCCCGCGCGCTCTTGCGGATTCGTAGGAAACCCAACACTTTTTAAACATTTCTGTCAAACGGGCTTTTGCGAGCAACTTTTTCGAACTTCTGCAACAACGGTTGCGCACCTGCCAGGGCCATCATCCCTGTCAAATAATACCATGCGGGACACATTCGTTTTTTCTTCGCGCGCGCACGCCGTCGTCGTCGGCCGCGGGGCCCTGAATAGTAGCCACGGTCGTCCGCATGCCACGAAGTGAAGTGTCCGAACGTCATAGGGCGGGAAGCTGGGTGTGGGTGGTGGCGAAGAGTCGTTTGGAAATTTGGTAGAGCTTGAACCGGCCCCCCCACAAAGTGGGGGTATTGCCCGCCTCCTATGAAAACCCTGGCACTGGTGAGAACGGTGTGTCCCCACGTGCTAGTAATTGTTGTTGTTGTTGTTGTTGTTGTTGTTGTTGTTGTTGTTGTTGTTGTTGTTGTTGTTGAATTCTCATTTCTGAAGAATAATTATTGTTGATCCCCCCACCGGTGCATACTGTTTTTTCTCAATCAAAGTGTGCCCCTCGACGCTCGCACTTTGTTTTTTGACAGGGAGAGTCTTGATGCTCAATCTGGGCCCCTGGCCCCCGGGTTACAACAACAACGGTTCCCGCTTGAGACTTCCTGACAATTCTAGACGCTTCGCGTATCCCCACCAGCCCGTCCAGAAATGAGTCCCAGGGGAGTGGAGGTTATGAGGGAAGCGGGGGAGCATGCAGAAGAACAAAGGGCGGGGTGAGCCGCCATATACCTTAGAGACACGCTGGGGCTGCTCTGTGTGGACCATCCCCGGAGGCTCAGGTCGAAATCAAAAGTTGCGGCTCTGAGCGAAAATCGAAAGTCGAAAATGAAAACCGAAACCGAATCATAAGTTGTTGTTTCTTGCTTTACTACGGTTGCGTTGAACTGTATCGTGATGGAGCATGTTGTATATACAGAATGCGTTGCATTGGTATTGTATTTGCATTGCATTGTGTTGTCCTGTGTTGAAGTAGCACGCCAATATGGTTGCATTGCGTTGCATTTATGCGCGCCAAGACCTGCGCCAGGTTCCATTGCGTTGCATTGGCTAAGTTGCGCCCCCCTGCCATTGCACTGCAGAGCAAGAAGTTGGCTTTTACCAGCTTTTGCGTTGCATTGCGTTGCCTGCACTGTGCTTCCTTTCCCCCGTTATGCCCCCCTCTCGTCCTGCTAGCCGTTTGGCTTCTAGCATCCTTGCCAATGCACGTGTTACTGTAGTTTTTTGAAAAAGTGCATGGATGATGACATCATCGCCCTTGCGATGGCCGTCCCCGTGGGGGACGCACGAGAGCAGAGAACGGCCAAGGAGAAACGCCTCGACGCGCTGCAGCGAGGCCGACAAACACGCATTCAGAATCTCCGAGCCAGACAGAAGACGCTATCAGAGGAGGACACGCAGCAGCTTGCGATCACGTCCTTGACTCAGCCTGCATGCGTTGTCCCTGCAGCTGCTCGACGGATTGCGTCTCGACCCGAGACAAAGCTCAAGGCGATGATGCAGCTGGCGTGTTCGCCCAAAATTCGTGGGGGAAGCGCTGCCATCGAGAGGGTGCGCCGTCTGCAAGATCAGTCCGTTGCCATCGTGGGCAAGCTGTGTCTAGACAGGCAGTTGCGCGGATGGCAGATGTGGCTTTCCAGGGCACCGCCAGTGGTTGCAGGCGCCCGCCTCTTCGTCATGCGCGGGGTTTCAGCCATGTGGGACGAGGCCTCGCAGTCGTCGCGGGCACTCCTGTTGCGGCGGAACTTGTGCCACGACCTCGGCCAGAGCCAGAAGACTGTCAATGTGATGGTCGTCCTTAGCGCAGCTTTCCAAGCGTTTGTTCAGCGGGGTCGCCTTGAGTCGATCTCGGACGTCCAGCACCTTTTGCAGATCGAGTGGCAGCCCTGGATATGTGCACCCCTATTCTTGGAAAACACGACCGCCAAGCTGCTGTTCGAAGGATTGAGAAAAACTATGCCCATCGAGTTTGCCAACGCCAGGTCGCTAGAGTTGTTGATGGTTAACACGGACGCATTCATCATTTGTCTCTCATTGGATTCGGCATCATCGAATTCAAGACGCTTTGCGTATCCCCATCAGACCATCCAGAAACGATGCCTTGGGAAGCTGGCGGAAGGAGGGAAGACGCGACGCACATAGTGACACAGAGCGGGCAACACAGGTGAGTTGGGAGATCTTGCGTGGCGACGGTTGCACATGTTGTTGGTGGTGCTCTTGCCCCTGCTGGTGCTGCTGATGTTGCTGCTGCTAGTGGTGCTGATGTTGCTGCTGGCATTGCTGGTTCTCGAGGGGTGGGGGGCGGGGGAAGAGGGGGAGGGAGTAGGGGGAGGGGGATGAGGAGGGGGAGGAGGAGGAGTTGGCGGATACGGAGGAGGAGGATGAGGACGATGGGAGGACGAGGACAAGGCGAATGATGAGGAACCACGACGAACGTAAGAGCCTCTTATGATGCCTCTTCGGAGTTGTTTCGGAAATATCTTGGAGCGTCTGGGGGTGGGGGGGATCTTGGGTGGCTCGGTGATCCTCTTGAAGCCTCTTAGGGTCTCTTGGAGGTCTCTCGAATGCCTCTTGGAGCCTCTTGGAATATCTCTTGGGCGTTTCTTGGAGACCTCCTGGAACGTCTCGGTGGTCTCTTGGCCGTCCTGCGGGACTCGCGGGCGTCCTGGGTGCCTCGGGGAGGCCCCTTGAGGCCGCTTGGGTTGGGGGCCTCTTGGAGGCTTCTTGGGGCCATCATGGGACCATCGCGGGGCCCTCCTGGGGCGCTCTTGGGAGCTTCGGGGGCGCTATTGGGGCAATCTTGGAGGAGATCTGCCAAAACAGATGGGAGCGCTAATGCTCGCCCCCCCCCCTCGGGAGCCCTGAAAATACAACCTGGGCCCTCCCTCGGGGCGCTCTTGGGGCGTTCTTGGGCGCATTTGAGGCCGCTCTGGGGCTCTACTGGGCCCCTCTTGGGGCCCTTCTGGGCCCTCTTGGAGCAATCGCCAGGCCTCGGGTGTCCATCGGAAGCGAAAAGACGAGAAGGCAAACACCATTTGTGCCCTTCAGGTGTTTGAACGACGTTTGCTTCTTGGAGGCCTCCTTGGGAAGCGATTTGGCCTCGTGGAACTGCATGGGGGGGGGGGGATCTTGGTGCCTCTTGGAGCATCTTCGGGGCTATATTGAGGTATCGTAGGCTATGTTGAGCAATCTTGGATGTCATATTGGGCTCCGAGGCGTTCTTGGAGCCGTCTTGGGCGAAACAAATGCCGTCCAACACCTCGCGACACCCGCCGACCAGGTCCAGGGGGGAGGGGGTAGAGGGGGGGGTAACCCCGCGCCGAAAGGGGAGAACGGGGGTTGAAAAAAAGGACACCTACTAAACCGCCTGCGCCCAGAGGGCTGTGGGATCTAGCAACTTGCAAAATGATTATGAGATATGTCGAACGGGCCAATCTCTGCGGTTTGATGTTGCACTTCCAGCGCTGTTTGTCGCACCAGATAAATACCAGCAGGTCTTCGATACTTTCATTGGCGGGCGTAGCTGGTATGCTATATTGTCTGAGTAAGATGATTGGAATTGGCAAGAATGTGAATGCCCTCGCAGCCGCAATCCACGACCACGTCAAATCAAACATTGCGATCCGTTATGGCGAGCCCGAGGGGCACCACCACGTATTGCAGGCAGTGCTGGACGTGTTCGCTATCGACGGGGATCGCGGCTTGATCTGGCAAGGCGGCTGCCTTGCCCGCTCCAGCAGGGCAACTGCATTTCGCAGAGACCTAGAAGAGTTGTGCAAGAGGTCGTTGTTCGACAGATCCGCGGGGGCATGGGTGTACTATGTTTCAGTGGCGCCCAGCTCGTCACACAGGCATCGGGTCGACCTGGACGAGGCAGCGAAGTACATTTCGGCGCCGCTGATTAAGTGCTTGGTTGGTCGTAGGTGGGAGGTCGCTGCCCTCTCGCGGTGGACAGGTGTTATGCGGTGTCTGAAGCGGGTTGTGTTGGGGGCAATGTTTAACAACGTGCTGCCATCAACTCTATCAGCGCTGTCTTCCAACATGGGCATCACTGACGCGAAGCTGGAGAAAGAAAAGAATGATAGCATGGCCAGGATTGCCAGAGGCGAAGATGCGAACACCTTCGCCCTCACCAGCATGACCAGGGTTATGAAAGTTTCCAAGTATTTCAGGGACGCAACGAGCAGATGGCAGATTGGCGCACTACTGATTGGATGCGCTCAGATCGAGAAGCTCCATTGGCAAGTGCTTGGCAGCACCGCAGAGAACAGGCGCAAGGCGAACCTGACCGACCTGGTCGACCCGCAGGTGAGCATCACCGGTCAGTCCCAAGCCCAGCTGCTACGATTGCTGCAGGAGTGGAACTTGTCAGACGCGAGTCCATGGCGGCTGCTCGCGTTCCTTGGTTTGCAGGATCTTCGTGCCGCAGATGTCCGAGCTTACTCGAGGAGCCTGGTGCTATCGGTCAGTTGCAGTCTGTTCCAGCGTCTAGAGGCCCTCGTGGGAGCGACCACCGCGTTGACGCCGAATGCCTGGTTGTTGCCGCTCTGGCGAAGGACTGGTTCGTGAGCTCACCTGGCGCGGCCGCGCCAGGTGGGCCAACGAACCAGTCGCGCGCCACCGCTGCAACGGCCGCGCATGCGGCGTCGGCGCCTGGCGCACCCCGCCCAGGTTCGGCATGCTACCTGGCCCTACAAGCTGCAGTGGCTCATATCTCCGAACGTTTCTGATGGAGACAGGGCGGGCGCTATCCAGGAGTTCCTCGATGCGAATGACTGCTGCATCGGGCCTTTTGGGCGCACGTTCAGGCGTCGCTTCCCCTCGCGCAGCGCGCTGCTCAGCCGCGAGGCTGCGGCGGCGATATTGTTCTGGCAGAGGGGGCTGTTGTTCACGACGGCCCCCGCCGAGTGCGAGCACAAGGCGATGAAGGGGGAGATGGCGACCAGCACCACGGGGTTGGCGCATGGCCCAGTTGTTTGGCGGGCAGTGTGTCGGCACTTGGGGAAGGCCCACGAGATCAGGGGCGGGACGTCGTGCTCGTTGCCGCTCCGACGCTCTGTTCCAGAGGCGCAGGCCGTGCTCGGCCAAGAGAGGGGCATGCCCATCTGCGACTGCGCGGGTCCGCGCGCCGATCCCCTTCAGCTGGATGACCGCCCTGCAGATGCGGCGGGGGACGGCGATTCGGCCGACGATGGCGACCAGCGCGACGGCGTCGACTTGGAGGAGCTAGTCAAGGGCGGCAACCCGAAGATGGCCTACTCGAACCGCCAAGTCCGCTTGAGGAGGGGGTTCCTCAATCGACCAATGACGAGAGACGAGGTCACGGCTGAGCATTTAAGAAACGGCAAGGAGTACGACGATGACCCGTCCATAGGTGCGCGGTGGACTGCGCTCTTCGCCGCGCGGCAGCGGCAACGCAAGCGACTGTCCCAGGCGCCATCGGGGCTCCCATCATCGGCGACGCCAGAGGAGATGCCCAGGCAGCCAGTGTGGCCAGAAAGCTTACATGATGGCGACGCCGTCGAGGACGCCCCTATCGCCTCCACAGTGCTCGCGAATTACCATAGCTCACTCAGCGTGGATGGCATCGAGAAGCTAGCAACCGACGCGAAGCCGTTCACTGTGCAGGAGGATGGCTTACAAGAGCACGTCGCATCACAGGAGACGCTGTGGGGCTGCGGCGGCGAGTGGCACAACGTTTGCACCAAGCTGCTGGCGCAGCGCCGCTTGTTGCGCAAGTTCGACGTCGCCAAGGCTTCTGTAGAAGCGCTGGTCGATTCCATAGACAAGGGTACCATCAAGACCAAGGATTGCTTGTTCCACTTCTCCTCGAAGCGGGTGGTCGGCGACGGCAGGATTCTGCACGCGTGGGCCACCATCAAATGTCCGATGTACAGCCCGAAGGTTCAGTGCTTCGTCAGGTGCCGCCCAGTTTCGGTGGTGGATGCTGATGTCGTGGAGGGTGGATTTGCGACTCGGGCCCCTGCAGCGTACCCGTACAAGCTGAAGATCCTGCAGTCCAAGAGCCGCCTCTGTTCGCAGTCGGTGGTGAACCCCTTCGTCGTCGTGGACAAGGAGACGTCATATGAATTCGTGAGGAGGCTGCTCTGTCGGACGTCGTGGCGACTTGCGCGAGTAAACTACGACGAGGCAGTGGGCGACGACCTGCTGCACGTCGTGGTCACGGGCCAGGGGGCAGCGACCGACCTGGCTCCGAAAGAGGGCAAGCGCGTCGCGTCGGCAGACGCGGTCGTGGACCTCAAGCTTGCCCCGACTGGCTCGGCGATTCTGAGCGGCATCATGTCCGCGGGAGGAGCAGGGGCGGGCGCAGCGGCGGCAGCCAGCCCGCCCGCCATCCTCGATGGAGGGGGGCACGCTGACGGCGGCTTGGGGGACGGTCTCGACCAGCTGATGGCCGACTACCTGGATGAGCACTTGCACGGGGATGTCGCGGGGGCCATGGAGTTTATCGATGATAACCTTGCTGGTGATATCGCCGAAGCGGAGGCCGACGCCGACGACGCCGACGATTTCGGCATGGGCGAACCCGAACCCGAGGGCGAGGGGGAGGGCCTCCATCATCACGGCGAGGGCGAGGGCGGCCCTGGCCCAGACCCAGAATGCCCAGGGCGCCGCGACGCATTGGTCGTCGCAGCCGCCGACGCTGCTGCTGTACTCGGGGGCGCGCCCTTGCCTGTGGCGCCGCTGGCCGCCGAGCCAGGTGGCGCGGGCGCTGCGCCTTGCCACATGGACGTGCTGGGGGTGGTGACGGGGCTGGCGCCGCCTCACAGTGGAGTCCCAACTTGTGGCTTCGTCGGTTACAGAGGCGACCGCACCAACATCTTTGCTAACTGCCACTTGCACCCGAAGTGCAGCGTCAGCGCTGGCATCATGAGGCACCACGTGCCGATGGAGTACATGGCGGAGTGGCTGATGCTCGGCGAGGTGGTGGACAGGGATCTCCCCATGGAGGAGCGGATGGCCGCGGGCGCCCGCCACCGAGCGCTTTGGGTCAGGCCGTACTGAATTCAGCACCAGTTGTAATTAATACACTCGTTGGAAAAAATGAACATCAACTGGTCCGCCGACATCCGCCGACCCCCAGCACTGTGTACGACCTTTACTTTCTCCGTCACCCTCCATCTCCTCAAATATACTTCACCTCCTCTCGCCCACCCAACTCTAACCCAGGCGGGGGGGAGGGCCGTGGGTGAGGGTTCCCTGCTCCTGCCAGGCCAGGGCCCTGACGCCTACGCCACCCCGTCGCACGGGGGCAACATAACAAGGCCGATGGGCAGCGTTCCAGTCTGGGAGGCAATGGGGGCTGGGGTGGACGGCAGTTAGGCAAAGGGGAGGGCTCGCGCTGGGATGTGCCAGGAGGGAGTTCCCCCCTCCAGCACGGGTGAATCCAATTCACCACGCGAGCCCTCCCCCGCGCCCGCCTTCACCAGACCCTGCTCGAGGCCCCCAGGTCCCTGGCCAATCCCACTGAAGTTCTAAACTGCCCAAGCTGTACGGACCATATAGGTGCGCAGGGGAACGCCAGTTTCAGGGTCTCTTTCAAGGTGCAATGCTTGACCGCCCGCCGATGGCGCGCGGCACCGTTGCAGCGTGCTGCATATAATAGGCACGCTCAGCGAAACACTCCTCGAGACACACGCCCCCGCGAAGCGCTGCCCAAGACGGCCTCGAGAGGCCTCCCAGGCACACCCGAAGAGCCACAAGAGGGCCCCAAGACCCCCAAACGAGCCCCAAGAGGGCCCCAAGAGGACACCAAGAGAGCCCCAAGATGGTCTCAAGAGACATCCGAGAACCTCTCACAACAACGCCTCAACTTTTTCCAACGGCATGGGGGCAGCAGTAGTTTCACATAGTGTGAATGTACTGGTGGACGCTGCCACGAGTGGGAGGGGCACGACCGCACCTCCCGAACCTCCGAAGGTGTCGGGCGGCGCCGCCGCCTCCCTCGAGAGAAGTATACATGTCTTGCTCGCCGCTGCAGCGCCTCCGACTGGATTGCTGCCCTGGGTTCGTAGGTTGTTTTGTTCGTGGTGTGTGTTTTGTTTTCGCGTGGGCATTTCGCGTTGTGTTTCGTGGTTGTGTTTCGTGGTGTATTTCGTTGGGTGTTTCGTGTGATGGTTTCGTGTTGTGTTTCGTTGTGTTTTTCCGTGGGGCGTGTCGTGGGGTGTTTTTTTTTGTCGCGGGGTGTTTTTCGATGGGTGTTTCGTGTGGTGCGTTATTTTTCATGCGGTGTTTCGTGGGATGGTTTTCATTTTGTTTCGCGGGGTGTTCCGTGGGGTGTTTCGTGGAGTGTTTTGGTGGTGTTTTCGTGCGGTGGTTTCTGTTGTGCGCGTTGTGTTCGTAAGGCGTTTTGTGCGGTGTGTCGTGGAATGTTGTTCGGAAGGGTATTTCGCGCGGTGTTTCGTGGGGTGTTTTTTCGTGGTGTGTTTCGTGTTGTGTTTCGTGGTGCGCTCTTCGCGCGGTGGTTCGCGGGGTGTTTTTGTTTCGCGGGGTTTGTCGCGGGGTGTTTCGCGGAGTGTTTTCGAGCGGTGTTTCGTCGGCTTTTCCCAGCCATCCTTTGGTGTTGAGTCCTCGTTTTGAAGAGACAGCGCCCCGCGTTCCCACCTCCCGCTGCCCTCCTCCCTCCTCGCACCATCGTCATCATGATCATAATCATGATCGTCATCATCAGCATGCTCACTGTCGTCGTCATCGCCAGCATCGCACCAGCATCGGGATCATCATCATAGTCGCCATCATCATCGTCACTTTCATCGCTAGACGCCCCAAGAGAGCCCCCATGAGGCCCCCAAGAGATCCCCAGGAGGCCCCATGAGGCCCCCAAGAGAGCCCCCCCAAGAGGTCCCAGGAGGCCCCCAAGAGAGCCCCAGGAGGTCCCTGGCCCAGGAGGGCCCCAATAGGGTTCCAAGACGGGGCCCCAGACGCGGAACCCCAAAACATAAATGATGGCGTGGTATTTATCACGCGGAACAACAGCACATAAACATGTGTTTTGGGAGTTGCCACTCGTGCGTTCCGTTGTGGGCTTCCCAAGGGGTCCCAGAAGGCACCCAAGATGGCCCCAGGAGGTCCCAGGGGGGCCCCGAGAGGATTCCAAGAGGGCCCAAGAGGGGCACTGGAGGAGTCCCAGAGGGAACCTCAGACGCGGAACCCCAACACATAACATGTTGTTTTGGATGTGCCACGCGGAACCCCAAACAATAAAACATTTTGTTTTGGGAATTGGTTGGCTCTGTGGGGGCTCCAATTAGGGTGGCTCTGTGGGGGCGCGAATTGGGGCCCTCTTGGGGTTCTCTTGGGGCCCTCTTGGAGAGGTCTCGGGGCCATCTGGGGGCCCTTTGAAAGCCTTTGGAGGGGCCCAAGAGGGCGCCAAGACGTCTCCCAGATGGCCACAAGAGGGTCCCAATATTGCCTCATCCTTCTCCTCCTACTCTTCCTTCTCTTCCTCATCATCCTATGCATCATCCCTCTCCCCTCTCCCTCGTCCATCCAGCCTCCCTCTCCTCGGAGATCCCCTTCTTTGCTCCCGCACTTCCTGATCACCTCAACGCGCCTGGACGTCGTTCGTGGATTGGCTGGCGGGGATACGCGAAGCGTCACTCAGTGTCTGCACCAGCACAGGCGTCACTTTGGCACACCCCTCACGCGTTTCGCTGACCCATAGGGAGCTCCACCGAAGGCACCAGTGGCAGACCTCACATGCCGCCGCCAACCCAATTTGGCACGCGCCTCGCACTGTTCGTGCCCCCATATGGGAGCTCCACTGAAGGCACCAGTGGCAGATCTTGCATGCCGCCGCCACCTCATTTTGGCACACGCACACATACCTCACACGTTTCGTGGCCCCATAGGGAGCCCCACCGAATGCCTCGGTGGCAGACCTCGCATGCTGCCGCCAACCCACCTTGGCACACCCCTCACGCGCTTCGTTGCCTCAGTGGCTGCGCCCGCATGCCTCCCCCGCGCTCATTTCGGCACGCCCCTCACGCGCTTCGTGGCCCCATAGGGAGCTCCACCGAAGGCTCGCATGCGCCCCCCCCCCCGCCACCACCGCCACTTTGGCAGACCCCTCGCACAGTTCGTTGCCGCACAGGGAGCTCAACCGAAGACGATACTCACAACTGCGGTACTCACAACTGCATATGGCTGGGTCCTTCGCCAGGCTAATTTTCAGCCATCCTGTGGTGTTGGGTCATCGTTTTGAAGAGACGGTGCCCCGCGTCTCCACCCTTCCGCTGCCCCCTCCCTCCCCCATATCCATAATCATCACCGCGATCATCATCATCGCCATCATCAACATCACCATCGCCCATTTCGACACACCTCATGCGGTTCGTGGCCTCATAGGGAACTCCGCCGAACGCCCGCCGTCCACGTGCGTCCCCCCGCCCAATTCGGCACACTCTCACACGCTTCGTGGCCCCATAGGGAGCTCCACCGAAGGCCCCAGTGCAGCCGTCCACATGCGTCTCCCCCGCCCAATTCGGCACACCCCTCACACGCTTCGTGGCACTATAGCGAACTCCACCGATGGCATCATTGCCACCGTCCACATGCGTCCCCCCGCCCAATTCGGCACACCCCTCACACGGTTCGTTGCCCCATAGGGAGCTTCACCGAAGGCTCCACTGCCACCGTCCACATGCGCCACCCCCCCCCCCCCCGCCCCCCCCACCCCCCCCCCCCCACCCACACAACAGCACACTCCGCCCCACGCCTCACCCCCCACCGCGCACACTACGCACAATTCGCATGACCCTCACGCGTTTCGTGGCCCATATGGAGCTCCACCGATTGGCCACAGTGCCACCGCCACATGCCGCCCCCCCCCCCCCCCCCGCCCACGTCCGGCACCCCGCCTCCGCGTATTCGTGGCCCCTAGGGGCGTCCACCGAATGCCCTATGTGCCACCGTCCACGTGCGTCCCCCCCCCCCGCCCACATCGGCACACCCCCTCACACGTTTCCGTTGCCCCATAGGAGCTCCACCGATTCCCCAGTGCCACCGCCCACATGCGTGCCCCCACACACCCACTTCGGGACACCCCTCACACGTTTCGTGGCCCCATACGGAGCTCCACCGAAGGCCCCAGCGCCACCGCCCACATGCGCCCCCCACACCCAATTCGGCACACTCCTCGCACGTTTCGTGGCCCCATAAGGGGGGCCCCACCGAAGGCCCCACGGCCACCGTCCACATGCGTCCCCCCCATCCAATTCGGCACACCCACTCACACGTTTCGTTGCCCCATAGGGAGCTCCACCGAAGGCCACCAGTGCAACCGTCCCATGCCCCCCCCCCCCACCCCCACCACCCCCCCCCCCACCACCCCACACCCACCCGAACCCCACACACCCCACCACCCCACACACCACACACCACACACACACACACACACTCTCTCACACACACACACACACACACACACTTCGGCGCACCCCTCGCACGTTTCGTGGCCCCATAGGGAGCTCCACCCATGCTCCAGTGCAACCGTCCACATGCGTCCCCCGCACCCACTTCGGGACACCCCTCACACGTTTCGTGGCCCCATAGGGAGCTCCACCGAATGCCCCAGTGCCACCGTCCACATGCGTCCCCCACACCCACTTCGGGACACCCCTCGCACGTTTCGTGGCTCCATAGGGAGCTCCACCGAAGGCCCCGCGGCCCCGTCCACACGCGTCTCCCCCCACCCCCCCACCCCGCCCCACCCAAGTCGGCACACCCCTCGCGCGCTCCGTGGCCCCATGGGGAGCTCCACCGAAGGCCACAGGGCCACCGCCCACATGTGTCCCCCACACCCAATTCGGCACACCCCTCACACGTTTCGTGGCCCCATAGGGAGCCCCACCGAAGGCACCAGTGTCACCGTCAACATGCGTCCCCCCCCACCCAATTCGGCACGCCCCTCACAGGTTTCGTGGCCCCATAGGGGCTACACCGAAGGCCCAACTGCCACCGTCCACGTGCGTCCCCCCGCCCACCCCTCCGCCCCACCCCCCCCA